TCTTTAAAATCTTTAAAATGTTCTAATAAACTTAAAAAAATGTCAGACAGTATGAAATGGTGTGTGTCATTCAATTTTCCCTCTTTAAAATGTTCTAATAAACTTAAAAAAATGTCAGACAGTATGAAATGGTGTGTGTCATGAACAGTGGTCAATTTTCCCTAATTGATTCCTAAATTCTTTTGCATGACAACTAATTGCCCAAACACAAAAAAAATTAATACAAATGTAATAATAATGAATATTTAAATTTTGCATAAAGGTTAAGTACATTGTCACTTTCTGTATGATTTGACTAGTTGATGTCACATTATGGTGCTAATTAATGTTTTTGTTTATGTAAACATTGGTGCTTTTCTTTTTGACTTTTTAGCATTCTCTGCAACTCTGAAAGGTAAAACAGTCCCTTTTAATGTTTGTTTGTTTATTAATAAAAATAAGCAGTTGCAACAATGTAAAAAAGTAAAATCCCCCTATATATATCTTTGTGTTTCTTGTAGCCCAAGAAGAGTCTCAGACTCTGTTTTTTGGGGAAGACTTCCACATCCTCGTGCCGGCAGATGGAGCTGATGTGACGTTCAGGCCTTCGGTTGTTCCAGGTCGCGAGAAGCCGCTGATGAGTTCTGGGAAAGTGGTGGATCTTCGTGCCAAACTCAACTCTGCTTCGAGGCACCTGATCTTGGAGAATGTTGGAGAAAGTGATGAAGGAGTCTACACCATCACATCTAACCAAAACCCAGAGAATATTACACGCATCACACTCTATGTTAGAGGTACTGCATAATTTACCAAAAAATTGTTCGCACATTTTTTACAGCAGCTTGTACACTAAGTTGGATGTGCACACCTACGCACTAGAATAGCTCTGAGTGACTTTCATTATTATAGGAAGTCATGTTGTGAACAGTAAGGGAGGTTTAATGACCTGCTGCAGTAATTGTAGCTCTGTCAAGCCACACTGGTTGCCTTCCGTTCTTCTCTACCTAAAGATCCTTCTTTCTCTTTACCCAGCTATCTTATTTCTCCCATTATCAGCTGTGCTGGCTGGCACCTTTCATTAATGGTATTATTTTAATGTGGCCTTTTTTCTTTCAACAATTAGTCAGAGAAAAGAAGTACTTAGGAAGGTCAAATGGGGTTTGCAGTCATGCAACATGTATTTTTTCTAATAAACATTCAAATTAAACAGATAAAATTGATTAAATTAAAAATAATATAGCAAATAAAAAGGTGTCATTCATTAAATGCTAGCTAGTTTTTGACAAAATGTTGGTTTGTAGTTATTGCTAAATTTATATTTCCCATAATTGAAGGAAAATATGAATTTGACAATTTTTCTTACAATAACTTGGGTAATAAGGTTAATTTCATGATGTATAATTCTTTATCTAATAGTTCATACAATACACATTTGTTCGAATGCAGGGCAAGTACCACATCTCATTTATCTCATGTGTTTCTCTTCTTTGTTTCTCTCACTTTTCCAGATTGCTCTAGTGAGGTCATCATTAAGTACGGCTTAGATTTTCATGTATCATTGCATGATATCTCAGACCCAGTGCGTGTGGGCTATCGCCACAGCGCTGTGGAGGCCAATCAGACGTCATTGCCGGCTAAGGAACTGCTAAATGCTGATGGAATGCCCAAGGAGAATTACCAGGACCGCATTGAGATCACTCCTCAAAAGTTCACTTTGCGTGCTGTTACAGGGGCTGATGAAGGCAGTTACACCTTTAGTGATTCCATTGGGAAAGTCCAGAAGAAAATCTGCCTAAATGTGAAAGGTGAGCGTGGGAAGAAGAGAGGGGGGGAAACACAATTTCTAGGATTCATGACACACTGATATTATTTTCATATAACATATTAATGTCCTAATCTTCAGGGACAGGTCTATGTGGTGGCCAGGGGTGGCACCGGCCCCCCTGAAATTTGGCTGGCCACCCCAGGTGCCCCCCTTACCAGATGTCTTGCGACAGGCTTGTTTTTAGTATTTATAACTGCATCTGGCAGTGGCGGATCCTGGCATGTGTAGGCAGCTGCCTAGGGCCGCTTTCTTCTCTTCTTTATACTTAATTTTAGGCGATTTCTATAGCGTGATCTTAATGACAAATGTCGAGAGCGCATAATGTTACGTGATCCATGTAATGCGCGAGCACGAATCTCCACTCGCACGCAGATTTCCTTCACTCACACAAAACTGAATGTGTGCTTTTAAATATACATTGTTTTTTTTTTTTTTATGAATTGGAATAATCACTGAGGGTGCTTCTGAAATTAGTGAGGGTGCTCTAGTCTTAATGCACATTTTCACATATTTTGTCCCATCTATTGCTATGGTTATCACTATGTCAATCACTGCTACTTCGAGAGCAAATCCCGCATAAATATGCGGATGTCATTCCCGAAACTTTGCAACGTGTGTGTGGCCGAAAAACAAAGTTTACATTTTAAATGGATTATAAATGGATTATAAGCCTAGAAAACTCGCAAAGAGTGCCCTTTATACCCACTAAAAAGCTGTCACTCTTTGTTCATTGTGATCTCACAAAGTTCTGTTTTGACCAATGAATCTCACACTGCACAATTAACAAATTATTAGCAGCGTGTATACTGTATGTTATCATGAAAGGATTCAATTGTATAACTCAGCACGGAACAAAAACTGGTGTGTTGCAGCCTTTAGATATGAGAGAAACCCAGCATATTCATGAGGATGATGAAATTGTTTTCACTTGAGTAAAGCCTTGAAGTCCTTTTAAGTGTTTTTCTTAATTGAATATGTACAATTTCTCATGTTAACAAAATTTATTTGATTTAAATCAAAAATTTGAACTTAATCTATACATTGGGTTACATTGATAAATATTGCATTTGATAAGATAGCATTTGCTGTTTAGCACTTCTTAATAGTGTACCATAGTCCATAGAACTGTAGCTGTACATTTTCCCGCACATTACACGGCTATAAATAAATGGAAGTATTGATTTGTGGTGAAATTATTTGATTTTGTGAGGAGAAAGGGGCCGCAGAGTGATGTGAGATTTTTGTCAGGGACAATGGTCAAATAAACATCATACAAAAATCTTTGGTGGCAGAATGCTGTAATTGACCAATCAGAATTAAGTATTCTGAGAGCCAAAAAGAAAAAACTGAGGTGGGAAATTTACGACTGGAGGTTGTTTGTATGTAATATACACTCTTAAAAATAAAGCCTCTAAAAGGGTTTTTTTGCAGCAATGTCATACAAGAACCATTTTGGGTTCACCAAAAAATCTTTCAGTGAACAGTTCTTAAAAGAACCAGTGTGTTTCTTAGTGTAAAGAACATTTTTATAAATCTAAAGAATTATTTTCCACTAAAAAGAACCTTTTGTGCAATGGAAAGCTTTCATAGATGTTCCTCATGGAACCATTGATGCCAATAAAGAACCTTTATTTTTAAAAGTGAACAGTGAGTGGAGACCTCTTCAGGTACGTTATAAAACACAAAAAGAAAGGATAGTAGGGAAAGTACAAAGAGAGGAAGAGAGACAGATGGAATAGTCTGTCATTTTCTGCCTGCAGCATTTATTCCCTAAAATATGAATGCTTTCTCCTCCCTGCCGATTCTTTTTCTTCTTTCTTCACTCTCGTGACATCATCATAGAAAAAAGCTGAACATCTCAGCTTCAATAACAGCTTTTCCTCCTTTTGTCCTTCCTTCTTTCTTTCTACCAGCACATCAGATATTTGTGACCCTTTCATACGGTGGCACTCTGAAAATAAACCTGCACATGAATAGCTCCCTAGCTCGCCTACTGTACATCCCTCAGTCTGATAAATATAAGTATTTGATTATGGAGAACGGACAGCTCAACCTGCCTCCTAACCTGGATCTTGAGGGTCATCTCTCTTTGGAGGACTCTTTGTGTCTTCTTACCGACATGAGGGCCAGCGATGCCGGAGTTTTCAGTGTGACTGACCTTCAGGGATTCCTGGTGTCTGATGTCCACCTGGAGATGGAACGTGAGGACACACAATATGACAAAGAGAAATTACAGTTCATTTAATTTTCATGTTTTGGACTTCATGATGTATCTCTCTTTCTCTTTCAGCATACAGGCTTCCTAAACTCTACATTGCTATCATTGCTCTGGTAGCATTACTGGTGTTGCTGCTGTTGGTGTGCTTGGTGTCATGTTTGGTGAAGATGCGCAAACGTGCAGCAAAGGCCAGAGCCATTGAGGAGAAAGTCCAGAATGCAGGCAAAGTGGAGGGAGATGCCTTCAGACAGGTCTTATCTTACCACCTATTTAAGCACCAAAATATGACAGAAATAAAAACAATTAAATGTACAGTGGCCCTAAACATTATTTGGACTTTGGTCACCTTATAAATATATTAATATCAACTGTAGCTCTGTGGCAATATAAAAAACATCACTCTAATTGTTTGAGAATCCTGACCAGCCCAACACAGAAACATCAGATAAACATTTGCCTTATGTTCCACATTCTTATTTCTTGTCTTCTCCAACATCAAAGGAGAAAGAGAAAAGTTTTGCTTGTATAATGGAGTATATTATAAGCCCTTTGCTCATATTTTTTGCAGGTTGTGAAAGATGTCTGTACCCAACAGAATGAGGAAGCCCCGGCCCTGTCACAGAAAGAAGACATCACTGAGAAATCACAGAGCACAGAGGTCAGCATTAAGGTGAGCACCATGAAGCTGAAAGGCATTTTAATCAATAGCGCTATCTGTATATCTAAACCCCAAGCATTTGCTTAATATAAAATGCAAAATTAAGTTGAATGTTGTGAAAATGCTTTAGGAACGCTAAGTTCTGAGTATGTTCCTCAGGGTTTGGAGGTGTCAACTAAAGAGCCAAGCCTTCAAGAGAGGAACATAGAGACCAGTGACTCTGGAGTGGGCTTTAATACCACTGGACTCCCGCTTGACAGTGACACTGATGCCCCAACAGCAGCCATAGCAGATTCTGATGTATTGAGTTCCTTTGCTGCCCCTGATGTCAAAGCCATTCCCAACCAAATTCCAGAGTCAAAGACAGCTCCCTCACCTCCAAAACCAGCACCAACTGCTGATCTGAAACCAGCACCTGTGGCCAAGTCGACAGCTCCTCCACCACCATCTCCCGAACCCAAACCACCAGTAACACCTGAACCTAAGCCCAAGCCTGCGGTCACACCAACACCTGAACCCAAACCTGCTGCTACACCTGAATCGAAAATGACCATCTCACCACCACCTGAAACAAAACCGACCTTAAGCCCATCACCAGATCCCAAGCAACCTGTGACACCTGATCCGAAACCAAGTCCAGGACCTGAGGCAACAACAACTGATGTTAAACCAATTCCAAGTCCAACCCCTGAAACTCCAAAAGCAGTAACACCAACTCCTGATGCAAAACCAGCAGTTTCACCTACTCCTGAACCCACACCAGTTAAAGTTGGCTCTCTTGAACAGAAACCTGCTGTGAGCCCTCTGGATACTAAACTGGTTTCTCCAGTCCCTGAGCCTAAACCAGCTTCACCCACTCCACAGTCTAAACCACCGGTCTCAGAGATTCTCGACTCAAAACCAACTACAAATGGTACTCCAGAATCCAAGGCTGACATTGAGTCAGAGCCACGTGCACCCATATCTCCTGGGCTGGATGTGAAGGGCACAACCCCCCCCAAAACCCCTGATACTGGGAAAAGCTCCAGTGGAGGTCTAGACTCGGCTTCCCCCAATGACAGTGCACCACCTTCAAGCACTGATGGAGCTGCCACCAACTGAGATTAAAACGTAGCATCTTTCCTGCCTCCTCCTAGTGTATTAACCACCACAGACAATCGAGACACTAGACTTAACAACAAAGAAGAGCTAAGTGACTTCATCTTTTGATTCTCACTTTTAATATAATTAACATGCATCAATAGAAAGATCCACTGTAAATCCACTGAGTTTACTAATATTTAATCACCATGTAACAGAGTTCAAATACAGAAAAGAAGCATTTCAGACCTTACACCATTGGCTAATTTAATACAGAATGAGGATGGCTGTCTGGGCTATTCCAAGAAAGTGTACAAAGACAAATCTTCCTTCACAGAAATAATACATCACTGCATGAAGATATTGACAAATAAATTATATTATCAGTTCCGTAATCCAAGTTACTGTGGTTGAATTTGGGGAAAGGCACACAGGAACATGGGACATTAATCATTTTCATTCTTTATGAGATAATTTCTGCTCCATTTCGACCAGTCGGAGAATCCAAATAGCAGGACTGATACTGAGAAAGCGACCAACCTTCTGCTGTCAGAGGACTGGAAAAGTGGAAAAATCACGTGTCACTTTGACGCATGCAAGTCAACATGTCATTTTGACAAAGGAGATGAACAAGGAAACTACAGGAGTGCGAAGCAGAAGGAAGAAAAACCATTTGACCAAAAAAAAAAAAAAA